GGATTGTGATGTGAGTTTACCAGCAGTATAACAAAATGAAGCCGAGGGCTATACAGGAAAGTTCAGAGGTAACCAAGGCCTAAACGTTGTGATCGTTTTTGTTCAGAAGGTAGCCAAAAGCGGGATGTGAACACTAACTTTATCTAATTCTTAATGATGATGAGTGTGATCTTGGAATCCTGAACCCCCCCCGCCCCCCCTTTTTTTTTTCAACCCTTAGAGCTGTTTTTATCACAGCTTAATATTTCCTTGACAATTAACAATTTATAAATGGATGGATATTTTTCCTGAGGTTAAACAAACACTCCTCCTGTGTTTTCCTTAAAAATCTCACTGTTTGTTTGTCAATGTGATAGTCCAGGAGTCACAATATCCGTATGAGAACAAGTCCTTCGTCTTCGTCCAAGAAAAAACATGAAGTATAAAACAAATCTGCTGGGCAAATAGTGTTTCTCTCTATTATTCTTACCTTAGTCATGGCTATGAGTGAGTACCCGCTACCTTTGATTCAATGTCAGGTTTTTGGTTGTGCATTAGATTTTATCTTCGTGGGTGGTTGGTGGGTGCCCTGGTGTGGTTTGCTTCTTCTTTCCTATCAAACATCTATCATCTTTATCTCCCCTCCTTTTTTGTGTTTGTTACTCTCTTATAATACCTCTAAATCTTCTGGCGCCCATATGACATGCAGTTGCGAGCGCCGTAAAACCTCAACTAAAACTAAAAGATAGTGTCTTCTTTATGATGAAAAAACAAACTGCAGTGCTGAAGATTGACAAGATGCTATTTATGCAGTGGCTATGTTGGCCTGATTTTTCATTTTTTAAACCGCTTTTCCGTCTGCTTTTGTGTACTATGAATTTTCCTTTTTTGTAATCTTGAAAAATAATTCTTGTTGCAGATCCGTAATGGACACTCAGCCTCACACAGAACAAAGTTGTGAGGAATAGTTGCGGAATTGGAAAGTGGAGTGAAGTTCTTTGAACTGTGCCAAGATTGTCGTAACACTGACTTGTGGAGAATTGATTCAGGTTATTTATATCTCTTGAGAGTAGACAAGGTTCTACAATCACTGTCTGTCTAGAATGTCAAAACGTCGCAAGTCACCGGACGAAAACTTTCCTACCGCTTCGCCTCGCAAAAGACATCGTCTTGAACTTGAAGATGAGGAGGACTCAGGAGGGGATGAGAACGATGAGTCGGTCATCGAGGTAAGTGTTGTCTTGTTGTGTGGTACTGTGTATAGGACGGGCAGACATTTACTAAAAACTCACATGCACGCAAGCATAGAGAAAATTGAGTCAGTAGTTGATTACAGTTGATGGTTTATGTTCCATGACAGACAAATGTGGCTGTGCTCACAAACAAAAAGAGTTACTCTTTGGAGTTGGGCCCCATGGAAATGTTAAATTTTTGGTTGGAGTTTGTGCAAGAACTTTAGTATGAAATGATGAAAACCTGTTAAATCTTTTTTTAAATGGCATCAGTTGAAAGTGTATAAATTCGACCCATGCCATGGGTCAATTTTTGACTGATATCTCTTCATTTTGAGATTGTGAAGAAGTAACTTATTTTGTCAGCATGTCTCACAAAAATGTTTATAATTTTTTGTTCTCAGAGCTCTCTCCAGGACTCCTCAACTTCCTTGCTGTTGGCTAACGGGCAGGTATTGTATAGACTGTATTGTAATATGTGTGTGTTTTGTGTGGTTGTTGGCTTTTATGGGAAGGTATTGTAGAGACTAGACTCAGTTGCTATACGTGTGTGTTTTGTGTTTTTTGATGGCTAAAGGGAAGGTATTGCTATACTTTTTCTTTCTTTTTTAGTAGAGGGTTTTACGGCGCTCGCAACTGCATAAGGTCATATTAGCACCGAGGGGTGGGTGTCAACAGGGAAGTCCTTGCAGGTAATCAGACTTACTCTGCTCAACAATCTTACCTCAACAGCATAAAGTCTGCATTGAATGTCAAGGCACCCTGGAAATAGCAGTTCACAAGAGAGTGACGAACATACAAAAGAAGTAGAGGAAAAATGATGATAGTAAGGATGAGGAAAGAAAAAGCAGCAGTTTCCCCTATGTTGTTCTAGCACTGTATGAGCATGACATTGGAGTCAGCCCATTTACAATTTTACTGTGCTTAAGAACATGTTAATATCCCCCCTTTGGGAATGGCCTAAAGAAATTTCAGTCAGTAGCACTGGGGGGGAATATTACAGTATCTACAACAGTTATGATTTTGGTGATTTTAAATTATTGTCCTCTTGTCCTGTTCCCGGTGGGACCCAGCTGGCCAGAGCTAGCGCGGCGTGTGCGCCGGTGGCGGGTGTCATCAAGCGTGTCAGTATGAGCAACTTCATGTGTCACGACCGGCTGGACGTGGTGCTGGGCAGTCACGTCAACTTTATTGTCGGACGCAACGGAAGTAAGTGGGTTTTTTGTGTTTGTTTTGTTTTGTTTTATTCATTTAATAAGTAAGAGTTTTATGACCCTTACACAACACTATTAGGTTTTGTAGCTGCCAAAGATAAAAGTTGTCATTAGAAAGTAACATACAAAGGAAAGAAGGAGGAGATATAATTTAGAGGAGGATAGATGTTTGATCTGAAAGAAGAAGCAAACCACACCAGAGAAGAAGCAAACCACACCAGAGAATCTGCGATCAATCACTTAAAAAAATAAATTTAATTTTAAATAAATGTAGGTGTTTTGGTGCCTACATATGCCATTGCGAGCCCCTTAAAACTTTTACCAAACTAAAACTAATCTCCCTAACCGGACATAATTTAGATCACTTAAGAGGTAGGCTTTCGACCCTTACTGTCAGGGCCAACCTGGGCTGAGAGGGACACAACATCCCAGCAGAAAGACAGAGTAACTCGATAAAAATTTCTCCTCTCTCGGGGATTAAGAAACCCAGGTCTCCTGTGTGCACCAGCGAAGCGCCGAACTGCTACAGCACAAATTCCGGTGTTGAAGTAAGTAGGACCTGTGTTAGGACTAACGCTGACATTATTTAAAAACAAAACAAACAACTAACAGAAGCATGTCTTCTTTATAATTATATACATAAACACCATCCCACATCCTCACTTATCACCACCGCCACCATCATTTCTAAAATCATCATTGCTCTCAGATCCTTCACAAATATCTATAATTATCTTGAACATATAGCAGTTATATGTTATAACAATTATGTACGTATTACATTATTGGGCACTCTCATATATGCACATTTTTCTACTAATCAGATGGCGTCAATGTCATAGAAATGGGCAAGGGACAACCAAAAAAAAGAGGGACCTGTCACATCTTGAAGTGATGAATACTGAATAGACTGAAAAAATGAACCCCCTTTTGGGGGGGGGGGGGTCGTTGGTGGGAATTTATTTTTTTTAGAATAGAGTTTAGACAGATGTAAACTACCTTTTATAAAGGAAAATTTAGCATCTCACAAATGTAGGTGGATGAATGCTGCCTCTACTTCTTTTTTTTCCTCTGTTGTTTCTGTCTGTCTTGTTGTTCCCTGCACTACATGAGGGCTATTGTGTTGATGTGTTTCTCTTTACACAAACCCATCTCTCACAAAACGAAAGTCTGTGGGGGGTTGGCGGGTGCTCTTGTGTGGTTTATTCCTTCTTTACTTTAAAAAAAAATTTATCGTCTCTATCTCCCCTCCTTTTTTTGTGTTTGTTACTGTACTGTAACACCTCTAATCTTTGGCACTTATATGACCTTTTTGTGTTGCTTGTGCCGTAAAACTCTTTTTAAAACTAAGAAAACAAATTAAACTTTCACAAAACCATGTTTGTTATGAATTGGTTGAAAGAATTTGTGTAATAGGCTCTAACTCTTAACTGCTTTTCCAAGTGCCCAATCACTGACATGTTGGTTCACATTCGTTGAGGAGATAGTTGGCCTGAACTAAGAAAGAAAGATGTGAATATTTGTAGTTAATGTGTGTGTGTGTGTCTATGTATGTGTGCGTGTGTCTCTGTCTGTGTGTCCTAACCCCGTTGCATGTGTGTGTGTGTACAGGTGGAAAGAGTGCTGTGATGACGGCGCTGGTCCTGGGCCTGGGAGGGAAGGCGAGTGTCACAAGCCGAGGGAATGCCGTGAAAAACTTCGTCAAGTCTGGCAAGAGGTGGGTATGGTGGTCACTGTGTTTGTGTTTGAGTGTTGTCGCATTTCTGGCTGGCTGTGAGACTCTGCCTTATGCCACTGTTTGTAAAAATCACTTTTTAAAAAAACACTTCATCAATTACTGTGTTGCCGGACATATTGTGTCAAAATGGTATGGCCTCTACGATTACTGGTCTTGAAGTCGTTACATGACAAAAGTTTGAATTTCATGCAAACAACTGAAATTGCATCTCCTGAACAATTTTCTAAATGGTCCGGCGTATGGCAGAGGCTAACACTAAGCAGTTGATATGTATAATTTTGTCTGATTTGAATAGGTATAGTTTTGAGTAATTTGAATATATGTTTTTGTATCTGGAGTATGTATAGTTTTGTAGCAGGAATATGTATAATTTTGTATTAGGAATATGTATATAGTTTTGTATGAGGGATATGTATAGTTTTGTTTTTAGGAATTTGTATAGCTTTGTATGATTCTAATATGTAGCTATACGTGGTGAATATGGTGAATTATACAAGGTTTAGGATCATTTACTTTAATGTTAACCTATTTTTTCCCCCATGTTTACCTGTGGGGAGGTTTAGGTAAAGGCATCTGTGGTGTAGCGGTTAGGCTCTTCGCTGTTGCACGTAGGAGACCCGAGTTCAATTCCTGAATGGGGAGAAAATGTTTATCAAGCGTCTCAGTCTTTCTTCTGTTGTATGTTGTATCCCTCTCATCCCAGAATTTTTGTTCGTGTTCAGATCTGCCTGGGTGGAGGTGGTTCTGAACAACAAGGGCAAGGACAGCTACAAGCCGCACATCTACGGTGGGAAGATCGTGGTGCACCGGCGCTTCACCGTGGAAGGTGCTAGTAGCTACAACATCAAGTCCGAGAAAGGTTTGTCTTTTCTCATTTTGATTTTTGGGTTTTTTAATTTTTCAACGGTGTCCACTTAACAGCTACCTAGATAAGAGGCACTCCGCCTAACAGCAACTTAAACTTGTGTAACAGAATTTTCCCAATATAAATGACTTAATTTTAAAGGCAACCTTTTCCTCTAACAGCAGTCTTTGTTGCTTTAAATTGTCCATAAAAAACAACAACTGATAATTCAAAAGCCTGAACATCAAGACTTGTCCATAATTCGTTATTTAAGTGGACGTGCATACTTCCTCTCTCGTTCATCCCTCCTCTCTTGCTCATCTCCTCACAACACCTGCCTGTTGCATGCAGGAGACCCGAGTTCATTTCTCGGGAGGGAGGGGGTTATCAACTAACTCAGTCTCTCTACTGGGATGTTGTATTCCTGACAGCCCGGGTTGACACTTACACTTAGAACCCACCCTCCAAAAAAATCAACCAAAAAACCCAACAAAAAGTGGTGTATTTTCCCCCCCAGGCCAACACATCTCAGACAAGAGCCATGAGCTGGCCCGCATCACTGACCACCTCAACATCCAGGTGGACAACCCAGTGTCGATTTTAAACCAGGACACCAGTCGAAACTTTCTCAACAGCAAGTCTGCTACGGACAAATTTAAGGTACAGTCCATCGTGAAATCAGTGACCGGCTGTACCTACGTCCCCATGAGACAATCGGTCGTGTAATCAGTGTTTGTGGGTGGTTGGCGGGTGCTCTGGTGTGGTTTGTTCCTTCTTTCCTATCAAACATCTATCGTCCTTATCTCTCCTCCTTTTTTGTGTATGTTACTCTCTTGTAACACACCTATTCTTCTGCACTTATATGACCTTATTGTGTTGCAAGTGCTGTAAAACTCTTACTAAAACTAATAATTAGTGTCTCATGGGGATGTAGTGTCTATTTGTGAAAATTTCTAAGTTCAGTTGGTTTTGTAATCAGTGTCTCATTGTGACAATTTCTAGGTATGGTTTGTCTTATTGCATTGTAACGTCCATTTGTCTAGGTACAGTCATGTGGTGAGTGTTGTGAGAATTTCTAGGTACAGTCATGTGGTGAGTGTTGTGAGAATTTCTAGGTACAGTCATGTGGTGAGTGTTGTGAGAATTTCTAGGTACAG